CTTGGTGGGGAAGGAGGGAAGGGACTCGGTGCCATTGGCCCTGGCTGCTATTGGTGTCTTGCAGTGCTGCTGGTGTACCTTGATCATCTCCCACTTGGGCCAGTGCTGCCACTGATGCTCTTGGTGCAGCTCCTGAGGCTAGTGGGTGTCCTTGCCTGCCAGACTGGGACCAGAGGGAGGTGACAGGCCTGGTTGTGGGCTGGAGATGCATGTTTTATCCTGCTGGCTGGTTCATTTGCTCCTTTCCTCCGTCCTAGCATATCTGAGAGAAGCTTGATAGCCCCAGACAAACAGCTGCATTTTTTCTGGCCAGTTATGCTAGTCCCTGAAAACACCCCAGGATCTGAGGTGCCTTGATGTGAGAGAGCTGCAGGGAGCTCTCTCACGTGACTCTGTGAGACAGTGGCTCTGGATTGTCCCTGCAAAGGCAGCCCCACCACCACAGTTTGGTGGAGAGTGCCAGGTGTTTTGTAATGGAACTGTCCTTCCCAAGGGCTTTGACCCACTAGGCCCAGGCTGTGCCTTTTGCTGAGTACAGAGTGTCTTTAGGTGAGCTGTCAGCAACATGGCCAGCACCTCTTCATCCTACAGGGCTACTTTACAGGAACAGACAGCTGTGCTGGAGATTCACCTTATTTCCAGGCACTTGATCCCAAGGAATCTATTCGACTCCAGCTTCACGTTGCATCTTAGAAGCAGATTGTGCTTTCCTCCTACTCTGATTTAATAGCCAGTCCTCTTGTGTCTTCCAGGAAAGCTATTGCCAAATCCAGCCTCCAGCACATGGTAGCCCAGCCAAACCCTGCACTAGCCCTGAGGAGCGACTCAGAGAGGCAGATACGCAACACTGTGGACTGGAGTGTAAGTTGTAGCGCATTTTGCCGGGCATTGCATGGAATGGGCTCATGGCCAAGAAGGAGCAGGCTTTTTCCAGGTTGAGGCTTCCCAGGTGACTGGCTTTGACACATTTATGGCCTCTACCATTGCCACCAGCTGGTGTCGACATCTGTGCTGCTGGCAGCACTGCTTGGTGCTGCAAAGAGAGGCTGTGCAGGCACAGGTGGTTCCTGGGAGGATGGCATAGCTACTCCACTGCCAGCTCTTCTGCTTCTGACAGCCAAGATTTGATGGCTGGGGCCAAGCAACAGGAGCAAGCCCTGCTCCTTTGCAGGCAAGGCCCAGCATGTTTTAAGCTGCACCCCGAGGCTGTAGAACAGAAGCTGGTTCATGAGAGTCCCCTGCATTGTCCCAGTGCTTCCTCTCAGGGGGAGATGAAAGCAGCTCCATTGTGCAGAGCACTGCAGCTGGGCTGTAGGTCTCGCAGTTTCTTGGGACCTTCTCATTTCCAACAGGTGTGGGCCACAGAAGCAGCTTCATGAGTTTTCCTCTGTTCAGATGTTGTCCCTGGTTGTTGTGTGCATCTTGTCTCCTGTCCTACACCTAGCTCCAACATCCCACCCCCCAGCATTGTCCAGTGTCTTGTCCCTTGCACAAAGCATTTTAGGGGCTTGGATGCCTGTTCTGGGGGTGCTCTCAGAGAAACGTGTTGTCTTGTGCCTTTCAGGAGACTGCAGTCTATGGGGAGCACATCTGGTTTGAGACCAATGTTTCTGGGGACTTCTGCTACGTTGGGGAGCAGAACTGCATGGCAAAGCTGCTGGTGAGTCACCTGGAGTCGCCGTCCTCCCTGGCAAAGGATGCACATGCAAACTGTGCTGTCACCTTACAAGGAGACTGTGGAGGCTGTGCTGCTGATGCTGGGGAACATGGAAGGGTCTGGGGAGCTGCCAAGGCAGGGAATGTGTCCCTCCTGCCTCTGTGTACTAAGTCCCTGGTTTCTGCCCATGCTGGTGCTCAGTTTGCAATGGGAACCTTATCCAGGGCTGCTACTTGCCCAGAGTATTCCAGGAAGAGACTGCTGGGATCCCACACCCTTAGAAGGACAATCTGAATCCAAGACCTTTCAATAGAGGAGAAAAGTGAGCACTGGATACCCAGGCCTGCTGGTGATCTTACAGGGTTGCTGCAGTCCTCCCTCCCAGACTGATGGCTTAGTCCTGCTTGTGATGCAGGTCACAGAGCAATGATGCCATCCTATGCCTGCCCATGGGGCTTACTGTGGGAGCCCTGCAGGTGCCTCCCGGACAAGCTTCCATGGTGCTTTCAGGCAGTTTTAGAAGAGGCTGACGACTGCAGGACAGGACAGTGGAGAAAATAGCTCCCTGCTCTGTCCCAGGCTTGAGAGCATCTGCTTAGATCCCTTCACTTTGCAAGGAGTCTAGGTTGTGTCTAACTTTAATAGGGCTCGTTCTGTATCCCAGTATATATGAAGGAAGTATGATGGGAGGCTGAGCTTGCCAGCCTCTGAACACTGCATGTTTTCATTCACATGCATGTTTATCCTCTCCTTTTCTTATCCTCCAGCAAAAACCTCTCTCCAGGCGTAAGTGTGCAGCCTGTAAGATCATAGTGCATACACCCTGCATCGAACAGCTGGAGAAGGTGAGTAGAGCCTGTTAAGCCCTCTCTGCAGCTCACAAAACTGTAACAGCCTTTTCCTGGATAGCCCTTCCTCTTGGGCAGTGAAACACAAGATTGGGGAACTGCAGCGTGTAATGGCAAAGAGGGTTCTTCTGAGGAGACAATACCAAAAGGAGTATCTAGTGACATGATTGGGACTCCAGGCCCTGTTGTTTTTCAGTAACAGAGATATGTGAGAGTTTTATGGCATGTACCAAACATCTCCAGAGGCTCTGAGGGTTGTTGTAGTACAGTAAACTCCAGTAGGTTTCTTTCAGATATGGTGATTTTACTGATTCCTCTCATATATGTTCAATTTACAGATAAATTTCCGCTGCAAACCTTCTTTCAGGGAGTCAGGATCCCGGAACATACGGGAGGTGAGAGATGTGCCTTGGACAACTGCCTCTGCCCTTTGCAGTTTAGTGGCAAAGACACCAGATGCTGTCAGCATGTTGCCCATCAAGAGTGCAGGCGTCATGCTGCCTCCTGCTCCAAGGGGGTGTTGCAGTAAGAGGGATGTTGTGCAGACTGAGTGTGAGGAATGAGGAGCTTGCAAGCAGCAAATGCAGAGCCTCTGATTGTTTTCATGTTCTGAAGCTCCTGAATCTGCACGGGGGGGAACCTGCGAACAGTGTTTTCTGGGAGAAGCTTGCCCCCTTGTGCTGGTCCCCAAGCACATAGACAAGGCTGTGGCAAACAGCACGTCCCCAAGTCTTGTGCAATTTGGAAGGAAGCAGTGTAGCCTCATCACTCAGCCCTGATTTCGATGCCACAGATAGCAGTGGAAGATGCCCACAGTGGTGCATTCAGACCCCTTTAGGCCATGTTTTAACATACTGAACATAAGTGGTGGCTTGGGACCTGTCTGTTGAGCTACACTGGTGGGAGCAGCTGTCAGCCTTCATGCTTCACCCCTTCAGCCTATGAAGTGCTCTGGAGTGGGTGCAGATGGCTTAGTCATGGGCCTTTTTGGTAACACAGCTGCCCCTACAGTGTTTGTATTCAAACACAGGGCTGCCTGCTTAGAAATGGCAGTGTCACCTTTTAAAGTAAAGCTTTCAGCATCACTTTAAACCTTCCTTTCTTGCTTCTCCTGCTGTACCTCCTTCCCATATCACTTTTAGCCTAGCTCCCTTATTTGTCCTTCACTTACTTTTTGGGCTCTGCTGACAGCTTTCTGACTCTGCTCAATCTTCTGTCTTTATTTTTCTGCTCTCCAGCTTCTGTAAATTTTCTCTTGCTCCCCTGTCTTGGTTTTTCTTTCTTCTCACGAACACTGCTTCTCCATCCTATCTTTCTAATACTTCTCAGTTTCTCCAAGGCCTCTGCCTTCCTGTTTCCCTAGAAAGGTGCTGGCTGTTCTGGCCTTTGTGGTGCCAGTCAGCCCTTTCCCTAGATGTGCCTGCTGAGACCCAGAGCTGAGCTCAAGGTGTAGGCCCCCTTCTGCTCCTACTGGATGAATGTCCTTTAAAACCGCAGGACTCTATGTCCTCTCCCACGTGCTGCACTGAGAGCAGGCAATGCTGGAGCTGACCCAAACCTCCTGTCAGTTTCTGCCTCTATCATTCACCGTGATCTGTCAGGAGCGGGGTGTTGGGCCCTGCCATACTGGGCTGTGAACTTGCACTCACTCTTACATTTTTGTTACTCCCTCTGCAGTGCCATTCCCAGTCCAGAGCTGGAAGAGTAGGGTGGGATTTAGGACGTGTGGTGCTTCATTACAAAACTTCTGGCTCCCTCACAATCACTCTTGCAAGTCCTATCCTCACCCACTGTCAGCGTGCAGGCAGGGTGAAGGTGCCTGCTAGCAACCTTGCTGCCCACCATGCAGGCAGGCAGACAGGGGCTGCAACAGGCTGCAGGACTTGCCCTGAGGCAAAGGGTAGGGGGAAGTGAATGTGGGGGCTTTGGGACTGCTGCTCTCCAGGAGCATGGATCTAGGAGGTTCACTGCTCAGCTGCAAGAACTTCTGTCTTTTTGCTGTGAGCACAAATTGTATCTTCCTGAGGTTTTTCATAACTTCCACCAGCTTGTTTTTCATGTGGCACTAGGGGCATCTGGGCAGAGGGATGACCTTAAAGGATGGAGATGGGCTACTGCTTGCCCAGTCTCTGTTGGGCTTGCTTTATGTGATTCTCAGTCTTCAATTTCCCTCTCCTCCATCCTGTTTCTTTTTGTTTTAATTCCCTTTTCTCTGAGCACCTTAATTTGGCCTCTTACCCCCTGAATCTTTGGCTTGCTTTCTCCCAGAGAGTTGGGGCTGGTGCCTATGAGTAGTGGGCTTTCTGCAAGAGCCGAGGTCCTGGCTGGCCTGAGTCCTTTCCTCCTGCCTGTGCCTGTGTTCCCTCACACACTGGGCCTTTCATTCCCTTTTCTTTTTTTTTGTTCCTAGGAGGTTCACTTCCTTGGTCATCACTGTTTTTTTCTATTCATTTTTTCTTTTCCCTTTTAGCCCATCATTGTCCGGCATCACTGGGTGCACCGGAGACGGCAGGAAGGGAAATGCCGGCAGTGTGGCAAGGTGAGAGGGTATCTTGGGTATTTTTCTCAGCCTGAAGGAAACCTAAGGTCAAACCAGAGACAAGATCATGACTGGGAGCCAGGGACATCCCACCGTCCTGTTCAGCAGCAATACCAAGATGCATGCCCTCTTTTGCACAGTGAAGCAATACATAAGTGCCTCCAGCATACAGTTGTTCTGCCCCTGGGCCTAATCAATCCTGGAGGGGACTGTCTTGTTGACATGCTTTCTTTGAGCAGTAAGGACTCCTCTGCAGAGTGCAGCGGCTTCCCTGGTCCCAAAGTGGTGGTTGGGCTATCTGGCAGGGATCTGATGGGCTCCAGCTGCAGATACACCCTTTGTCAATGTCTCCCTTAGTGGTGGAAAAGTCCTGTTGGATGGTAGAAAACTGCAAGGGAATTCCCTAAGCCTTTGATCTTTTCTTCCACAGGGTTTCCAGCAGAAGTTTGCCTTTCACAGTAAAGAGATTGTAGCCATCAGCTGTTCCTGGTGCAAGCAAGCGGTAAGCAAAGCCCCCACTGATTACCTTACCCATCTGTTCTGCACCTAATGACCCTTGCTTTCAGCTGGGGCTCCCCAAGCTGTTTCTCTGTGACTTACCCTTAGAAGTTCCTCCTACTGGTAGAGGCTGTACTGTGGTAGCTGCAAGCTTCTATGAGTAACTTTCTCTTCATTGCCTTCTCACTACGAAATTCCTGCATGGTTTCCCCCAGCACGCCCTACACTGGCATGGAGGAGCTGGGAGGAGGAGGTGGCGGCTATCCCCAGCAAACTGAACAGCTTGAGTTTTCTCTCTTCTTCCCCAGTATCACAGCAAAGTGTCATGTTTCATGCTGCAACACATCGAAGAGCCCTGCTCGTTGGGGGCTCATGCTGCTGTCGTCGTTCCTCCCACCTGGATTCTGCGGGTCCGGCGGCCTCAGGTAAGTCACCTCAGCTCTTGTGGCTCTTTCACTGCTACCACTTGCTCAGTGGCTCTTCATGGAGTTTCTTGTGTTTATTTCTTTCCTCTCTAGAATCCACTGAAATCTAGCAAGAAGAAGAAGAGGACATCATTCAAGCGGAAATCCAGCAAAAAGGGAGCTGAGGTCAGAGATGAGGGGACAGGGAATGACCTTGTCTTGGAAGGGCAGAGGGTCTGAACAATGAGGAGCAGAGCTGAGAAACCAAAGGGGCTTTGCTGGGTCTGCACTGAGGTTAAGGAGGTTTAACTGGAGGGAGGGTGCCTGCTGGCAGGGTATATCCCAGCTATAAGGCTTATAGGGTGGCCAGGATGTTCTCTTCCTCCTGCTCCTGAGCTGCATGATGTTAGGGCTCAGCTGGAGGTGGGAGTTTGTATTTTCTCAGGTTTGTTCAAGGACCCTGTGGTGTTTTTGCAGGAAGGGAGGTGGAAACCCTTTGTCATCAAGCCCATGCCAGCTCCTCTCATGAAGCCCTTGCTGGTGTTTGTGAACCCCAAGAGCGGTGGGAATCAGGTATGGCCTTGTCCTGTGTCTCCCTGAGAAGGCATCCCTGTGAGGGCATTGCTGAGGTCTCGTCATAGTTTGTGTTGTCTCAGCTGCAGAAGAGGCAAGGCAACCCCAACAAAGCCAGATTGCTGCCCAGCAATTCACACCAAGGCCAGGCTTTGCCTGTGTTCTCCCAGAATGATGTTGTCTTGCCCTGTCCCCAGGACCAGGTGCCTTCTTCCACTGTCCACTAGAACCCCCTATTATCTGAAGTTTTTCTTCTCTCCATAGGGAGCCAAGATCATCCAATCCTTCATGTGGTATCTCAACCCACGGCAAGTTTTTGACCTCAGCCAGGGTGGACCCAAGGAGGCGTGAGTACTGATGGGGGCAGCACCCTTCTCTCCTCCATCCCTGCCCCAGAGATTCCTCCCTAGAGCTCTTTGTACAGCTGGCGGAGGCCTGATACTCCACAGCTCCCACGTGCAAAGAAACCTCCAGTGCTTTGAGAGGCCTCTGTAGGATAGCTTGTGGTCGGTTGTTGTTTTAGTGGGATCCGGACCCAGAGTAACGATGAATCTCAATATGAGTATGGTCGTTCTCCTTTATTCTTAGTGCTTACAAGATATATATAGATATTCACACAGTGTACGTGAATGCAGTGGATACATGATTGGTTTATTGCCCCTGTCCAAGTGTCCAGGGCAAACTTATGATTGGTGCAAGCAGGTGTCTATCCACACTCCAGGACTTTCCCAGGAATTCCAAGGAGCCTGTTGACACTGGACCCAGAGCCGGTCAGAGCCAGCTCTGCCAGGCAGAGCTTGCTCCTTATCAGCAGGTTCAAGCTCGGTCACAGCACGCTGTAGGCCTTACACCATACTACAAGCTGGGTTGTCAGCTCTAAAGAGACCATGTCCCTTTTCGCATAGCCATTCCTCCACAGTCAGTCAGTGGTTCCTGCTGGGGGGAGTCTAATCTTAAGACTAGTGGCAAAGCTGTGGGATGAGGTTCCCAGACATAGTTCCTCATGTTCAATTAGCGTTGTGTGTCTAGTTTACTTGCTGCATTTTGGGTTATCTCTGTGTACGCAGCCTGTGAACACCCCACTCTTCCTCCACAAGAGCTTTGGTGAAGCCAGAGTTACTGTGGCTTTGCCCACTGCTGTGAACAGCTGTGGCGATGGGGTGGGTGACACGGACATCGCTTTGTGAATGCCAGGGGCTCTGTGAGGCAGCTGCTGTGTAAGACCCTGGTGCCTCTTCCCTCCCTCCTCACCCTCCTTGTTCTCTGCAGGTTGGAGCTGTACCGCAAAGTCCACAACCTCCGGATCCTGGCATGCGGGGGAGATGGCACGGTGAGTCCCCCAGTCCCTTTGTGCCTGTGGTGCCCTTTGCCCCAGGCTTTTCCAGTGCAGGCAGCAGCGCTCCTCGTTGTAATCCGGACCAGGGCAAAATGTGCGCACTGTGTCTGTTTACAGTATAGCTGGTGGCACTGGATACTGTGGGTCCCCTTGTGCAGTGCTCCGAGGAGTGTGTTAGTCTGTAACATGTCTGGATTTTTAGCCCTTTTGAGGGCCTGTGTCTTCACTTGCATTACTGGTATCTCCTGCAGCACCTGTTTGGAGCATTAAAGGCTGTGAATAGTCTTGGTAGTGCCTAAGGAGACCCTATCTCTGCCCCTCTGCTATTTCTAGTGGTCTGAGTCACCTCTGTCTGCCTGCTGGTCCCTGAAATAACCAACTGTTTGCACTCTCTTGCTTGAGCAGGTGGGCTGGATACTCTCCATTCTGGACCAGTTGCGCATCAACCCACCTCCTCCTGTAGCCATCCTACCTTTGGGGACAGGGAATGACTTGGCCAGGACACTGAACTGGGGTGGGGTAAGTGATGGGCACAAGAGCCTACTGCTAACAGAGGAGGGCTGGGCACTTGAACTCCTGTTCCAGGCAATGGGTGAGGATTTGCATGGGCTGGTATTTTATCTTCCTGTAAATACAGACCAACAATAAGTGCCATTTGGATATTACCGTTCTTATATTTGAATCATTCTGTATTAGATTGTAATCTACTAGAACCTTAACAAAAGCAATCACTATTTCAAACTTTGGGGGATTTTTAGAAGGAAGATGTATTGTTTTAAATTTGAAGTCCCACTTTGTTGTGCATTCGAGTTGATCTCTTCTACATCATTTGCTCTGGGATGTCTTACCAAAGCATGCTGTCTCCAGGGCATCTCTGCAGGAGACAGGCATGAGACTCACCAAGTCTTTCTCTTCACCAGGGTTACACGGATGAGCCTCTGTCCAAGATCCTGTCGCATGTAGAAGATGGGAACATAGTACAGCTCGATCGCTGGAACCTCGATGTGGAGCCAAACCCTGATGTGAGCCCTGAAGAAAAGGATGAGGCAGCCGCTGACAAGGTGGGACACCTCCTCTCCATGTTTGTTCCCTGTCCTGGGGGTCTGCATTCTCCTTTTTCCCAGTGGCTGAGACAGCCCCAGCACCTGGGACTACAGTGTTGGGTTGGTGTTTCCCTCTTCGTACTCCAATTCCACGGCTCTCATCATAGCTCTGAGCCACAGCACTCATCACAAGGCATGTAGAGATCAGAACTAACATCTACCGGAGGTTTTTAACTACAGCTCACAGCAAGTATAAGCCCAAGCCCCTCTGAGTCTTTCTTTAGAAGAAACATGGGTAATTGCAGACATCTCAGAGAACAGAGTGTGTCCCTTTGGGCCACATCCCTTATTCCTAGGAGCCAGGGACCAATCCATCATCTCAGGCTGGTGACCTCTGTATTTTCCTGGGGAGACGGCAAGTGGGCTCCCTCAGCCTCATGAGTACTGTATGTGGCTCTGCTGTAGCCTGACCTTATCTTTGCCATGGCCACACACTGGAAGCTTATCCTTATTCCTCCTTTCCGTTTCAGCTCCCTTTGGATGTCTTTAATAACTACTTCAGCCTTGGCTTTGATGCACGGGTGACGCTGGAGTTCCATGAATCCCGAGGTATGGGGAAGTGGCAGGGCTTGAGCAGGGTTTGTGGGGTGAGCCCATTCCTGTCTGTGGATTCCTCAGGGAACAAGAGGATTGCCCCAGGGACAGGGCTGAGGCTGCCTCCTGGCTGAGGTTGTCTGGAGAGCTCTGTCTGGGGAGAGCTGGCAAGTTAAATATTTTCATGTGCCGACCAATGACCTGTACTTTTTCTCCTTTCCCTAGAGGCCAACCCAGAGAAGTTCAACAGCCGGTTTCGGAATAAAATGTTCTATGCTGGGGTGAGTGTGTGGAACATATTTGAGCATGCCTTCATAGCAGCCTTAGCATCAGCTGGAGCACAGGTATGGACCTGCCTCCTGTCTGCACCCTAAAATCACTCCTCTGAGTTACATGGACCTTCACATGCACCCAAGCTGAGGCCCTTGACTCCGAAGCTGGATGACTGCAGGAGAAAGGCTACAGCCCTAGGAGTCACAGCTCCTCTTTGGCTGCAGGCATTGCTGGCAGTACAGCTTGCTTCGTGGCCTGCGGTGCAGTTGCTGTCTTGATCTCCTGCCACTATTGTTCTTGTTCTCCAGCTCTTGGGTGGTCACCCAGGCAGGACCTCCCCAGAGCTGTGGGGGCTGCAGGTTTGCAGAGGAACAGGAAGCCTTTCCATAGAGTCTCCACACTACTTTGTTCTTTTATACATTGGGCCAGTTACAGCTTCCTGGCTAATTACGCCATCCTCCTGTATCTCACGTCCAGAGCTTTATGACTCCATGTCACCTTTGCTTCTCCATTTCCCTATCCTCAATGTGCCTTCCTACCCAAGAGTCTGGGTGACCCGTATTTGAGCAGTACTACAGGCCAAGTCCTGCTCTCTGCCATCTCACACCTGTCCTGCTTGTGTCTTTCTTCCTGTCTGTACAGTTAAACCCAGAGAGGACTCTAGGGTCTGTGTAACACAGTCCATGCTTTCCCTCCCAGTATCTCAGATGGGATCACATCAGCTGTTTTGTGGTACTTCATTACAGCTTGAGACTGCATTTTTCTCTTATGACTTGAGTCTCTCACTGGAGGAGACCCACCTTGCCAGGTCTTCTTTTAAAGTCAGGACTGGGCTGTCCCAGGGACACTATGGGGGGAGTGTTCCTAAGGGAATACTGGGGCATGTTACTGAAGGTGCCCCTGGTAAACAAAATAGCAAGTGGAATGGATCAGGTCATTTTGAGAGGTGTGGAGGAGAGGGCTTCTGACAGTGGATGAAAAGGGGATTTCAGCAGCTGAAGTCTGCAGGTCAGTGACAGGCTTCCTGGCTGCCTGTATTAGTGAATGTATGGGCACTAACACCATCTCTTGCCTTGGCAGACGGCCTTCTCTGATTTCCTCACTGGGAGCTCCAAAGACTTGGCAAAGCACGTCCGTCTAGTTGTAAGTGTGCTGGGGTGCTCTGGTCCTGGGAGAGGGTGAGCTGCGGAGGCATGGGGTGTGGTCCCTTGGCACACTGAATATCTCAAGGTTGGAGAGAGGATGTGTTCCTGGGAGCACCAGCTTCCCCTGACTTGGAGAACAGTCGCTGTAGGGCAGAGGAGGGAGGCAGTTTCTTCTGAAGTGGGTAGGATGGACCAGGTTCCCCCTTACAGCAGCCTGAACAGCCCTGTGTTGTCTCCAGTGCGATGGGACAGACCTGACCTCCAAGATTCAGGATCTGAAGCCCCAGTGCGTGGTCTTCCTGAACATCCCAAGGTGAGCAGCCTCAGGGCCTGTCTTCATATGCTGGTCTTCTCACCCCTGTGCCGCAGATCCCTGTTTGAGTTTGGGGTGCCTGTCCATGCATCTCTTTCCATCCCTTCACAGGTACTGTGCAGGCACCATGCCCTGGGGCAACCCTGGGGAACACCACGACTTCGAGCCTCAGCGCCATGATGACGGCTGCATTGAAGTTATTGGCTTCACCATGACATCCCTGGTGAGTCAGTGCTGTTGCCAGCTGTAGCTGGCAACCAGGGGAATGACTGGTGTCATGGTTTAACCCCAGCCAGCAACCAAACACCACACAGCCACGTCCTCACCACCCACCAGTGGGATGGGGGAGAGAATCGGAAGGGTAAAAGCTAGAAATCTCTTGGGTTGAGATTAAGACAGTTTCATAGAGAAAGCAAAAGCACATGAGCAAAGCAAAACAAGGAATTAATTCACTGCTTCCCACGGGCAGGCAGGTGTTCAGCTATCTCCAGGAGAGCAGAGCAGCATCATGTGTAATGGTTACTTGGAAAGACAAACACCATCACTCCAAACGTCGCCCACTTCCTCCTTCTTCCTCCCACTTCATATACTGTGTATGATGTCCTATGGTATGGAATATCCCTTTGGTCAGTTTGAGTCACCTGTCCCAGCTATGTCTCTTCTCAGTCTCCCATGCACCTCCAACTTCCTTCCCAGTGCGGCAGTATGGAAAGCAAAAAGGTCTTTGGCTCTGTGTAAGCACTTCTCAGCAATAACACAGACATCTTCATTTTATCCACCCCGTGTTCAGCACAAATCCAAAACACAGCCCCATAATAGCCACTATGAAGAAAGTTAGCTCTGCCCCAGCCCAAACCAGCACAACTGGTCCCATTGACCTGGTGTCAGCCAGCTCACCAGCTCCTCAGATCCTCTCTGGTGGAGTTCTGATGCTGGCCTATGTGACAGTGTCTGCTCTCTCACATTTAGATGTGGTGCTGTCATGCCTGATCTTTGGGTCCCTTCTCATTGCAGTCAGACCTGAGACTCTCAAAACTTGGTTGGGTTGCAACATCTAGCTGACAAGGGGTTCTCCCCTCATCCACCCTGCAGTCCGTGCTCTGCTCTCACTCTGGACCCTTTCACAGGCTGCCTTGCAGGTTGGTGGCCATGGGGAGCGGCTCTGTCAGTGCCGGCAGGTGGTTCTGACCACGTCCAAGGCCATCCCCATGCAGGTAGATGGAGAGCCCTGCAAGCTGGCAGCTTCCTGCATCCACATCTCCCTGCGTAACCAAGCCAACATGGTGCAGAAGACCAAGCGGCGCAACTCCATGCCTCTGCTCAATGAGTAGGTTCCTCAGATCGATCTGCCACCTTTTCTCCAAGAAGGGAGGGTTGGAGGCAGAAGGGACTCACAGAGTCATTTCAGTCTTCTGTCAGGGAGGGTCTGGGAAGGAATGAGATCACAGAAGTGTAGCCAGACCCTGATACTGGAGAAATTTCTAGTGCCAAGCTGCCCACCCAAGTCTGTTCAACATTCTGCTCTTGCCTGTTTTGGAGAGGTGAGGGGGGGGATAAGGAGAAAGGGTTTGTCACTTTCTGATCTCTTTCTCCTTCCCCCCTGCACACAGCCAGCAGCCAGTGCCCGAGCGGCTGCGGATCCGGGTGAGCCGAATCAGCATGTGCGACTATGAGGCACTGAAATACGACAAGGAAAAGCTCAAGGAAGCCTGTGAGTGACCAGCTGAGTGACCAGAGGATGGGAGCTGCAGTCCCCAAGTCTGGCAAAGCCTGTAGCTAAACTGCACAAGGTGTTGGGAATTGGGCTGCTCCCTGACTTGCGTTTGTGCCCTGTCATGCAGCTGTGCCCTTGGGGATCATCGTGGTTCCGGGAGACAGTGACCTGGAGTTGTGCCGGACCCAAATCCAAAAGCTGCAGGAGGTAAGTCTGTGTGTGGGATGTGGTTATAGCTGGATGCCGCAGACGGAGAGGCTCAGGGAAGGGGTTTCTAAGCCTCCTTGACGCACACACACCAACACATACACTCCTGCTTCAGGTCATGGTTTGTCTTCACTATGTGCTGGAGGCAGGATCCCAAGCTGGATGGCTTGTTGCTCTCTCTGTTTGGAATCTTCTTTCTCAGCATTGTTCTTTTTCCGTATTCTCCGAGCCCAGAGTGTCAGTGACCCAGAAAAATTACGGAATAGTGGAAAAAGCTAGCACATATCCTGGGGGGACATATCACCCTTCAGCCCTCTGCAGACTCTCTGTTTCCTGACACAGCTCTGCCTTCCCCAGGTGCCTGGATTAGGATTATTAACCCCTCCAACTCTTTTCATTTGCAAGTACTAACTTCTGTGCTCTTGCCAATGTACTAGCACATGTCCATGACCCATACACAGACTGTGCAACTCTTGCTCCTTGTGAGCAATACCTTCTGAGCCCCTAGTGTGGCTCCTGGTGCTACACTGCTTAATCTGATTTTCACCCAGAAAATCGAATGGAGCTTGCTTGGTCCCCTGTTAGCTGGATTTTGGGTCTGAGGGAATCTCATACAAGCATGTGTGTAGTGTCCTACAGGGCTAAGTTACAGAGCTGCTTGCCTGGGCTGGCCCAGTAGCATTTGCCTCTTGCTCTGCCTGCTCTGCGTGCTTGTACCCTGCCCACCTTGATGAGGACACACAGTCATGTGGCTAGCAGCTCCTGGGCTCAGAGCGTAATACTTTCCTACAGTGTCAACATGGTAGACTGATGCCTCTGCAACCTCCTGCACCTCTAAAACTGTACACTGAGGCTGGTGTAACTTGGTCATCTTGTGGTTTATCTCTTCTCTCTCTTTGGGGAACCACTTTGCTCTGGCCTTAAAGCAGGGCAGGGACCAAGGACCTTGGCCAGGCGGTATGTAAAGCCAGATATGTCAGCACATTAAGCAACTTCAATGGGATGAGAGGGGCTGGGGGCCTGCCCAGACACAGGCTGTAACAGCACACCTTGCCTTTCTGCAGGATTTCCCTCCACAGCCTTCTGCTTTAGAGCGCCTGCTCTTTCAGGTGTGTATGGCCTCACTCTGTCCACTGGGCCCATCTGTCATGTCCACTGTGCTGGTCTCATAGGCTCATCTTGTGACACCTCTCTACAGTGAGCTGATGTGCATTGGCTCCAGTCTGTCCCATGCTGCTCCACGTCGCTGTGTGCTGTGCCTGTGTTCAAATTCTCCTTTACATCCAAGCACCTGTGGTCCTCCATGTCTGCAGGGACCTCCTAAGGAAGGAGGGATGCTCTGGAGAGAGATGGGGAGGTCAAAAGACACAACTTTATCATCTCATTTTTATTCAGGAGGGAGATGGAGCCAAGCTGAAGACACTGTCATTCCAGAAGCTGTCACCCAAGTGGTGCTTCCTGGACTGTGAGTATCATACTCCCCTGTGAGTGTTGACTGTGTCTGACACGTGCTAGTAAGGTCCTTTGGTCTGCCATCTCAGTGGAGGTAGGAGGTGGAGATCCATGTGGCATCAAAGATGCAAGGGTTATTGATGCATTAGAAACCACAGAAAGTGCCTGAGAATTAGGGCTCCTATCCCCAAAAAGGTGGTGGAATCAGGAGCCCAACTGACATGCATCTACACCAATGCACGCAGCATAGGCAACAAACGAGAGGAGCTGGAAGACATGGTGCAACAGGAAAATTATGACATAGTTGCCATTACAGAGCCTTGGTGGGATCAGTCCCACAACCAGGATGCTGCAATGGATGGCTATAAACTCTCCAGAAGGGATAGGCAGGGAAGGAGAGGCAGTGTCTCATTCTTAGGAGAGAAGGGAGAAGGGACAGACAAGTCAGACACTCCTTATGTTAGGAAATATTTCAATTGTCTGGAGCTTAACGATGGTGACAGTAGGATTATGGGTAAGAATCAGGGGGGAAGGCCAACAGGGCAGATATCCTGGTGGGCATCTGTTACAGACTCCAACCAGGATGAAGAGACAGATGAAATACTCTATAAGTAGCTGGGAGAAGTCTCACTATCACCAGCCCTTGTTCTTGTGGGGGACTTCAACTGTTTATTGGAAATACAGCACAGCAGAGAGGAAGCAGTCTAGGAAGTTCTTGGAGTGTGTGGCAGATAGCTTCCTGACACAGCTGGTGAGGGAGCCAACTAGGGAAGGAATCCCGCTGTACCTGCTGTTTGTGAACAGAGAGGGACTGGTAGGTGATGTGATGGTTGGAGGCCGTCATGGGCATCACAGACGCAAAATGATAGAGCTTTTGATCCTGGAGAAGTAAGGAGGGGTACCAGCAGAACTGCCACCTTGGAATTCTGGAGGGCAGACTTTGGCCCGTTTAGGAGACTGGTTGACAGTGTCCCTTGGAAGGCAGTCCTGAGGGGCAGAGTTGTCCAGGAAAGCTGGATGTGCTTAAAGAAGGAAGTCCTAAAGGCTCAGGAGCAAGCCATCCCCATGTGATGAAAGACAAGGTGGGGTAGAAGACCAGCCTGGATGAACAGAGCTTTGGTTGGAACATAGGAGAGAAGGGAGAAGGGGCAGACAACTCAGGAGGACTACAAAAATGTTGTGGAGTTATGCAGGGAGAAAATTAGAAGGGCCAAAACCCAAGTAGAACTTAATACAGCTACTGTCATAAAAGACAACAAAAATGGTTTTTCTAATACACCAGCAACAAAAGGAGGGCTAAGGAGAATCTCCATCCTTTACTGGGTGAAGGGGAAGACAGTGACAAAGGATGAGGAAAAAGCTCATGTACTTAATGCCATCTATGCCTCAGTTTTCAGTAGTAGAGACCAGCTGTTCTCAGAGTACCCAGCCCCCTGAGCTGGAAGACTGAAATGGACCAGAATGAAACTCCTATAATCCACAAGGAGATGACTGGTGACCTGCTACTCCACTTAGACACAGAAGAGTCTGTGGGAGTGGATGAGATCCACCCAGGGGTACTGAAGGACCTGGCAGAAGTGCTCACCAAGCCAGTTTCCATCATTTACCAGCAGTCCTGGCTAACAAGGAGGTTGCAGTTAACTGGAAGTTAGCAGATGTGATACCCATCTATAAGAAGGGCTGGAAGGAGGATCTGGGGAACTACAGGCCTGTCAGCCTGACCTTGGTGCTGTGAAAAGTCATGGAGCAGATCATCTTGAGTGCTGTCATGTCACAAGGACAGAACAACCAGGGGATCAGGCCTAGCCAGCATGGCTTTGTATAAGGCAGGTCCTGATTGACTAACCTGACCTGATCTATGTCAAGGTGGCCCACTTAGTGGATGAGGGAGAGACTGTGGATTTTGTCTACCTAGACTTTAGTAAAGCCTTTAAGCCGGTTTCCCACAGCATTCTCCTGGAGAAACTTGCTGCTCATGGCTTGGATGGGTGCACTGTTCCGTGGGTAGAAAACCAATTGGATGACTGGGCCCAGAGAGTGGTGGTGACCAGTTAAATCCAGCTGGTAGCCAGTCACTAGTGTTTTCCAGCGCTCAGTATTGGGGCTAGTCCTGTTTAATATCTTTATCTATGATCTGAACAAGGGACTTGAGGGCCCCCTCAGTTAGTTTGCAGATGGCACCAAGTTGAGCAGGAGTATTGATCTGGTGGAGGGTAGGAATCCTCTACAGAGGGATCTGGGCATCCTGGATTGATGGACTGAAGCCAATTGTATGAGGTACAACAAGGCGAAGTGCTGGGTCCTGCACTTGGGTCACAACAACGCCATGCAGTACTACAGTCTGGGGGCAGAATGGCTGCAAGGCTGCTTAGTGGAAAAGGACCTGGAGGTGCTGGTCAGTAGTGGCTGAACATGAGCCAGCAGTGTGCCTGGGAGGCTAAGGCCAGTGGCATTCTGGCTCATATCATAGGTAGTGTGGCCAGCAGGACCAGGGCAGTGATTGTCCCCCTATGCCCAGCACTGGCGAGGCTGCACCTCAGATCCTGTGTTTATCCAGTTTTGGGCCCCTCACTACAAGAATGACATTGAGGTGCTGAAGTGTGTCCAGAGAAGGGCAACGAAGCTGGTAAACAGTCTGGAGCACAAGCCTTGTGAGAAGTGTCTGAGTGAGCTGGGGTTGTTTAGCTTGCTGAAGCAGAGGCTGAGGGCAGACCTTATTGCTCTCTACAACTACCTGCAAGGAGGTTGTAGTGAGGTGGACGCTGGTCTCTTCTCCCAAGTAACAAGTGACATGATGAAAAGTTGTGCCGGAGGGTTTAGATTGGATATTAGGGAAAAAAAATTTACTGAAAGGGTGATCAAGTATCGGAATAGGCTACCTAGGGAAGTGGATGAGTCACCATCCCTAAAGGTATTTAAAAGATGTGTAAGTGTGGCATTTAGGGACATGGTTTAGTTGTGGACTTGATTTACTGAAAGGGTGATCAAGTATCGGAATAGGCTACCTAGGGAAGTGGATGAGTCACCATCCCTAAAGGTATTTAAAAGATGTGTAAGTGTGGCATTTAGGGACATGGTTTAGTTGTGGACTTGGCTGTGTTGGTTTAATGGTTGGACTGGATGATCTTAAGGGTCTTTTCGAACCTAAATGATTCAATCATTCTGTCATTCTACAAATTTGGTGGGTGAGAGGACATACATGCAGTGATGAGCCACTGGGAGCCACATGAGGCTTAGGTCTCAGGGATGCTGGGCTCTGTGGCCAAGCACAGCAGTGCTTTGCCCCAGGATGTGTCTCTAGCTGCTGACCAGGAGTGGAGCAAGGAGTGTCTGCTGGTCTCCTGCCCCCGGAGCTGAAGGCAGCTTGGTGGTATGTGTTCACACTGCAGGACTGCTGGGGCTGCTGTCCTGCATCATGCAGGCAGGGGGCCCCCCTGCTCCAGCATGCTGGGAGCCAGGTTCACCATGGGCATCCCAGTGCTATGGGGAGCAGACTCCCTGCTGGGCTCCAGTTGCTTTTTCTCCCCTGTCTGAAACTAGCTTTGTCCTCTTCCTTTGCTGACCAAGAGGCTCCCTCTGTATCTGGAAGCAGGCTGAGAGAAATGCACACTGGCAGCACTTAATTTCCCTGATGTCCCAGTAGCAGTGTAGTGCACAGCAGGGCACTGTCATGGGTTGCAAAGTAGGCCTGGGAAGCCTTGTGCTAGGGCAGAGAGGATGAACTTCTCCCTTCAAGATTTCCAGCCTTACATGTGGGGTTGCTGGTGCTGCTGCTCCCAGGTATCACTACCAAGACTGCTGTACCAGGGCTGTTTTCCCTTGTCCTGCCAGTCTCCCAGCAACATGCTCTGAGCTCAGGGAAACATGTCAGGAAAGAGACCAGAGCCTCATTCAACACAGTGCAGACTCATTCAAGTGGCTGAATTATAGGCCTTGAACAGTAGCTCCCTGGCTGTAAATCTCCAGCAAGGACAGGATAAACATGACTCTTTAACTCTTCTCGTCTGCACTGGCAAATCCTCACTCTGTTTGCAGAGAGAGTTCCATGAGTCCCCAGGGGTCCCATGGCAGCAACCTTTCCTGGACAGGCACCAGCACCCTGGCAGGACATAAGGGAAATGCTGCCCTGTGTGGGAACCCAAGTGTCCTGGCACTGTGCTCTTACCTGTTCTGCTCTCCCTTGGTGATGCCCTAAGTCCCCAGACTCTCCTTGCTCCCCCAGAGGTGGTGGCTGTTTACATCTGGCTCCAGCATAGCCACTTGCTCCATTAGAGCTCCTCTCCCATTATGTTGATCGCTAAGGAAGAGGAGTAAGCAGAGGGATGCACTTAGGCTGGAGGATGGTTTGAAACTCTCCTGCCATTCTAGGAGATAGAGGCTTGGATCTGCAGCTGGCGGTGGCATGCCTGGTGGTTGTGCCTGGCAGTCACATGCTCTGACACGGCATCATGCAGGTCTGTGAGACCGTAGTCAAGTCAGCAGGAGGCTGAGCTCCCTCTTCTCCCAGCACCATTTAGTGTCCCCGCTTCAGAGCACTGTGCAACAAGTGCACCATATCAATCAGAGTAGTTCCTCACCTGGTGTAAGTGCACTGCACAGCCCTGAACTTCATCTGCTTGGGATAAAGCTGGAGCACCCAAAAGCCCCCCGAAAGGCCATGGCATCATCTAGTGTTCTTGCCTTCCCTGTGGCTCCCTGCCAGGAGTTACTGAGGAGGAGATAGCAAGCAGCAGCAGCAGAGTCACGAAAGGAAGTGGTTTGCTCCTGGTCAGGGGGTGCTGTTTGCTTTGCTGTGCCCTTTGTGCAAAGCCATGAAGTAGCTGGATATCTCACTGTCACTCAGTGGTGGAATGTGGCTGTCTCTTGTCTCACACTGAGAGTTACCCAGTCTCACTCTGTCCCTGTCTTACAGCAACCACAGCTGATCGGTTCTACAGGATAGACCGCGCACAGGTGAGTGCAGCCTCATCCTCCACCATCATGCCCCTGGCATCTGCTGGGAAGGTGCTTGGGTGTCCCACCTTCACACAGACCAACAGGCAGGCGTAGCCTCAGGGTCCTGCAGGTCTTGCACTGCTGCCCTGCTCTGTGGCATCCCCTGAGAGGTGGCATCATGTGCCCAGCTCAGGACCAGCCCCAGCACCTTCAGCTTCCTGCGTAGGTGGTAGCAGAGACTTTGGTTGGAAGCTGCCTGCAGGGCCCTACAGTGGAGTGGGTAAGGAATAGAAAACACAGTGAGACCCCTGACCAGTCTTGCTGACTGGGGTCATCTTCACCAGTATTAGATACTTTCCCTAATGATATGGAGAGGAGGATGTGGAAATGAGGTGTACAAGTTGTCTGCTAAGTTGGCAGGAGATAAGAAGCCTGAAAAGGACAAGGAGATACAAAGGTTCCCAGGCACAGGACTCTTTGAGCCACCATCTGTCTGCTGAGCAAGTGGGTGGGCTGCAAGGCCTGTGAGGGGACAGAGCTATGCAGAAGCAGGTCTTGCTTCTGAGGAGGCCTGACTTGTGTCTTTCAGGAGCACCTCAACTATGTGACAGAGATCTCTCAGGATGAGCTTTATGTGCTGGACCCAGAGCTAGTGATCACCCATACTGTGAGCACCTCTCCTGCCATGCCTGACCTCGTGGACTCATCTGCCACGCCCCCGGGGCAGCATTTTGCATTCCCCTCCTCTTCCTCTTCTCCACCCTCCTCCCCTGCCCCCAGGTAAGTGTGAAATGGGGGTGCTGAACCTCAGGAAGGATGGGGCGGTGATGGGAGAGCCAGGGTTGGCTTCACAGCATCAATTCCTGGGCCAGATTGCAGGGGGTCTCCCTGGAAGTGAGCAGGAATTCAGTGCTGAGTTAGACCATGGGGTGAGGTGCCATCCTGTCTTCCTGGTTCTTCTGCCAGTGCTGCTGTAAGGAGTAGGGCATCACCGGGTGACTCAGCCATGGGGGGTCAAGCTTCAGCACCTGACCCATGAGGAAAAGGGCATGGGTGTCTTTTAGTCCAACTGCCTCAGGTATGGATGAGCAATGGAACTGGGAGCAGCAGTAACAGTGGGAGTGGGGGTGGGGAAGAACCCAGACCATGGAAGAAGTAGATGACATGGCCAAAGAGCAGTCTCTTGGCCTGCCTCTCCTCCTGCCTGCTAGAAGAGTGCTACTGGCAGGTTTCTCCACAGCCATCCCTCTACCCACAGCATGACCCTTTGGGTGATCTAGTGCCACGACTGTCAGGGTTAGTTATACCTTTTCTTCTTTCCTTCCAGCACTGAGCCTGAGCGCTGCCTCCCACACAAAGGTGAGTTGTGTCCCACCCTCTGTTGAAACCCCTCTCAGATCATGCTGTTTTGTTTTTCTGCCATGTTTCTTTGGGCTGTCCTGGCCCTGGTGAGCAGGAAGGAGCCCTGCTGCCTGTGTCTTAAGTGGGAGCATGGAACCCTTGCAGGCGGGTGACCCCAGAGGTTAGCAGGACAGATCTGACAGTGATTTGTGGAGCGGCTGAGCCAGGCACCTTTGCTGCTCCACCTTATGGGAAAAGATGTGACAAGGGGTTAATTCCTCACCTGCAAAGCTGAATGCTGTGGCCTGGGTTGGGAGGCTGTCTCTGCCAGGCACTGGGGAGGTGGGAACACTAGGTCAGGGGGCCTCACCAAGCTGAGCAAATGGAAAGAGTTTCCTGTAGCTTGATCAGAGCCAGGAAGTGTGAGTGAGTCATTGGTGAGAGGTGTCTCGGCCGCAGGCTGATGCCCAGATCATCTGCTCCCCACTTCCATCACAAGTTATCCTGCGTATGGGCAGAGACTTCTTCCCTTGCACATGCACCTCCCTAGGGCTGCACCACCACCTATGTGGTGTCTCCTTCCTTCCCCTGGCTTGTCCCGTACATTCCTGAAGGTGGAGGAGCCATGTAAATCCAGTCTGAGGGGTTAGTGCTTGGAGGACCTTGTGCTGTACCCTCAGTGAACTGCTCCACACCTCTGGTGCCCGACCCTTGGGCATTAGAGATAAATGGTGCTACAGCCTGACTTTTCTGATGCATCTCCCTTCTTTGCAGATGACCTTCTGATAGAAGCTGCCAAGAGTGGCAACTTCAGCAAGGTAGGTGCTCCCGCAGCCTGCTGTGATGAGCAGCCAAGGCTGGCTCTGAGCGGTCTCCCCAGAGCCTCCTCAGCTGGTGTGCCCCTAGGGCTAAGGGAAGCCTTGCCAGCCATGCTCCCCGGTTGCCCTGGAGCAGCTCCTGTCAAGGGCCTTCCTTCAGGAGTGGTGGCTGTAAACCAGGCAGGCTTCTGGCAAGAAGCCCTGTTCCTCTCCTAGGGGACATGGAGAGAAGGGACTTGGCAACATGGCTGAGCTGGACAAAGCTCCCTGCCAGCCCCAGATATCTACAAAACCTATCAGGCACCCCAGGGGCATGATGCCAGGGCTTGGGGCTGGGAGCTGAGAAAGGCAGCTCATCCTGAGCAATCTGTCAATCCTGTAGTTCCAAGAGCTGCACAGAGCTGGAAGAGACCTGATGGTGCGAGACTCCTCGGGCCAGACTGTCCTCCACCATGCTGTCAAATCAGGGAGCAAGGACATCGTCAAATATGTCATTGAGAACGGTAAGCTGGGGCCAGAGTGTCACCCTTAATGTAGAAGCCTGGCAGCCAAAAGAGCCCAACCCTCTGCTTGGAAGGGGTGCTCCTGGGCTTAGATTAGATCCTGGGTGTAGATTTGCTACATTATCCTACTGGTATATGGGCTTTCCCTGGCATCTCTCTGCCAGTACTGGGGTGCCACCCTGGCCGCTACTGCATCCTGGCAGGGACCAGCATGTCTCTAGGAAACATTTCTCAGTGTTCTGCTTCTGCCTGCAGGACAGCTGACCTGTTGTTTTTGGCAGCCCCAGTTAAATACCAGCTGCTTTATTTTTATTTAGATATTTCTCTGTAGTGAGTCCACAATCAACTCTTCATCTGGGCTCAGATGCCATTGCTGATTTGAGTGCTTTGGGACCAGGACTTTTGCAGGCAGTATGAAAATAGCAGTCCCTATGGAATGATGCAGAGTGTGTCTAGGTCTCACTTGTCCTGTGCTCTTTTTTTCCCCAGCCCCTTCAGAAATCCTTGATGCCACGGAGGAGGAGAAGTAAGTTGCTGACTGACTTGCATTACCTGTTGGCCAGACCCTCTGTGAGGTGACCAGTCATCTGGGCACTTCAGCTGCCCTTGCTCTAATTAGCAGCCATGATTCCCAGTCCATTTTGGACTAACTGCCCCTGAGTAGCACCCCCTTCTCTGACAAGCACACAACCCACCATCAGCTCCTGCTGCCGCTGAATTGCTGCCCCTCGCTGCTACCTGCATGTGCTGCTTGTCCCCATTTGGGGGGACATCTCACATCTCCTGCTTTCTCCTCCCCAGCGGTGAAACCAGCTTGCACCAGGCTGCAGCCTTACGCCAGCGCACTATCTGCCACTACATCGTGGAGGCCGGGGCTTCGCTCATGAAGACAGACCTGCAGGTGACAGCAGCAGGGGTGGCAGTGGGGCTTTCTGGGATGACTGGAGGGCTGGCAGGAGCAGGGGCAGCAGGAGAGCAGAGCAAGGGTGCTTTGGACGGGGTGTTTGCTAGCCAGAGAGGAGCTGATATTTAACACCCATGCTTGCCCAGCAGAGCCCAGCTGCAGAGGGTTAAATCCCTCTCCTCCCCGTGCTTCTCTCCCTGTTGTTTTATTAAATTAGAAGTGAGGGGCTGGAATGTCTCATCCCTGTCTCCCCCTTCCCACCCTCTGGGGTCACAGCAAGGACATTCTCCCTGCAAGCTCCCTCCCAGCTGTAGGACCTCCCCTGCTCTCCCCTGTGGGCAGTCATGATGGGGAGCTGGGAGCTCCTTTCGGTGGGTGAATCTGGCCCGTGGAGAGCAGGAGTGAGCAGGCAGTGGCAGCATTTTCCCTGACATGCTGAGTTAATTGAGCTGTGCCTTGATATCGGGGAATTGTGCCAGTGCTGGCAGAGGAGTCACAGAAGGGGAGCACTTGAGGCCATGTTTTGGTACAGGAGTTTCCCGGGGCTGGCATGTGGCAAAGAGGATGTGGTCAGATGTCTGGTGGAGGCTTGTGATGGGCTGTAGCAGAGATCTAGAATAAGCCAAGAAGGTGCAATCTGTGGGACTGGAACACGGGTTAGGAGTCCAGCTGAGGGATGAAAACTTACTGGAACTGGTGGAGCTTGGGGGCCAATTTAGAGAGTGTGCAGCTCTGTTTGCCAGCTGCCAGGGAGATGCTGTACAGACAATCTCTGGTTTCCTGTCTCTCTCCTCCTTGGTTTTGTCTAAGGCTTAGGACCTTGGGCCTTGCACAGCACCCAGTGTGGCGCTGGTCCGGCTGGAGACTTGGCTAGCAGAGGCAGGAGGAGAGAGCAGCTCTGGTGACATGGCGCCTCTCTGTCACCAGCCCATTTGCCTGAAGGAGGGGAACAGCCCCTAGCCTGCCAGCATGAAAGGGAGCCTCGCTCAGGCATGCCGCCTGCTCCAGGGAGTGGGACCTGCATGTGCCTGTGCAAATACATCAGGATTTGTAGCTGTCGGGGCCCCCTCTGCACTGCTGCAATGACCTCACATGGGCTCTGGGTCACAGCCTGCCTGCACAGGCAAGACTCACCTCGTTAGAAACTCCAGCATCAGACCTGGGTTTACAGCAGGCTGATCCCACTCCCTGCAGCAGAGGGGAAGGCTGAGGCTTATCAGTTGGCATGCCTCAGGGAGGCCAGGCAGAGAGGCCCTGGCAGCTCTGGTTTCAGGCGGTGGGCAGGCAGTATTGCAGTGGGGCTTCTGCAGGGGGATGGGAAAGAGGCTCAATTCCTCCTCTGTTAAATGAGCAATTGCATTCAGGGGCTATGGGGGAGAGATTCATGAGTAGAGCCAGCACCGAAGTACAGAGCAGTCTCCATTCCCTGCTGTGCAGGACCAGGAGGTGTGCCCAGTCTTGGAGTGGACATGCAAAAGGGGATTTCTTTGTGCATTCCTTTGCAGCCACACACAGGTGGGCTTGTGTGCACAGCCACATCCAGGTCCAGCAGAAGCTCTGCATGTCTGACCATTGTCCCTGATGGAGAAATATGGCCGTAGCCTGCTCTGGAGGTCCTGGCACCCACTCCAGCTGCCTGTGCCCCATTGTGCACCAGGGGACAAGCCAGGCAGGCCGGGTATCCCTTCCAGGGCTGGTTTTCAGAGGCAGTGGCAGTGTGCCAGGTTTCTGCAGCCTTTCTCAGTGGCATGGCAGTGTCTGGGCACTTGGTGAGGAGGAGCAAGGAGTAGGGAGGGGGAAGGGGGAGAGGAGACAGAGCTGGGAGCTGTTAACAGATTTGCTTTTTATGGAGTGCGGGAGTTCATTAGTGGACACAGTCCAGATGGCTGCAATAAGCTGGTGAAATGTGATCCTCCTTCGGGAGCTGGAGTGCTAGCCAGGCAGCAAGAGAGAAGGGGGGTTGGTATTCTCGGGCATTCCCCAGACATACCCCTCATTCCTTACCCTTTCCGGCCTGCCTCCCCAGCATAGGGGAAGAGCAGGTCATGGGGGCCAGCCTTTGTCTCCTCTTGTGCTGCTGCTGGTGATGGCCAGGGTCAGTCTCTGACGTAGCCCATGCCTGGAGCTGATGGCCCTTCAGGGGACAGCTTCCAGGCCTGCAGCAGTCAGGCTCCTCAGGAGCATGCTTTCATCCCATGCTGAGCACATTGGCATTTGGCTACTGCCTGCCTTAAGGCTTGGCTGTAGGCTCTGCTGGACCCAGCTGCATGGGGAATGGGGGCACCTTAAGGTGTCAAGGCAGTGTTTAGCACTTTGATTTCTTGCCTCCCCTATGCAGGGAGACACCCCGAAGCACCGTGCTGAGAAAGCCAATGACGCTGACTTAGCTGCCTACCTCGAGAACCGACAGCACTACCAGATGATCCAGCGGGAGGACCAGGAGACAGCTGTGTAGTGCTTGGTGTGCCTTAGCCCAAAGTCAGCTCAGGCAGGATGAGGACAATGCCAACTGACAGCTGTGAGTCTGGCCCAACCCTCCCTAGATGTCAGCCTGGTCCCTGGAGATGGATGCAGCAGAGCTCTGCCCCAGGCTGGTCTGGGACTCTGTTTATGAGGACAGTGGGTTTTTGGAACTTGAAGCCTGATTCTTTCTTTGTTCACCCATTCACCTCTCATTCACCACACTCCCTGCCCTAGATGGGCTCTGTCCTCCAACTGTGTTGGGGCAGGCCAGGCTGAAGCCCCCAGTCCACCCTTGTGCACAGGAGTAATGCCAGTGCTCTCTCAGCAGGTTCCTACCTGTGATCCTTGCGGGATGTCATTGCTCACATCCTGTCTCTGTTGGCAGTACCTGCCTTTAGATGCTTGACTAGGTTCATGTCCTGTTCCTCCTCTCCTGTCTGGCACAGGCTGTGCAGGCAGACAGCAGAGGCCATGAGCCTCAGACTTTGTGCCAAGGGAAGCATCACAACTTACTGCCCTTGCCTCCTTCTCCCTCTTGGGCCTGCACGAGGTCTCTGTGTTGCTCTGCTGGAGCCTTCTGCAGCAGGAGGGGAAGTTGCTTGTGCACCCAGCCTTTCCTTAGCGCATCTGTGACTAGGGCATCTGGAAGCAGGGCAGCCATTGCCCTCCTGATTGCCTTTAGTGCTCATTCAGACAGTAGTGTGGCTCAAGGCAGGGATGGCATGGTGGAAGGCTACCAAGTCCTCTCACCATCATTCCCTCCATGGCACAGCTTGCACACCCAGTGTCTGCTGGGCATCTCTTCGTGAGCCCACCACAGTATGCAGCCATGGTGGAGAGCTGTGCTTGACCTGGGCAGTGACTGTGGTGAAGCCCATTATATTTCCCAAATGCTGACTTGGATTTGGCTGCCCTCCCCATTTCAGTTTCCCCCTCAATGCTAGACATGACACGGGGCTGGAGGGGAAGTGCTGGGGTCAATGCTGCTCTCAGGGATTCCTCCCCATGTCCTCCAACCTAGCAACACTCATCCTCTCAGTCTGACTCCTGTCATTCCCCAAACTGGGCACAAGGCTTTGCAGGGAAAACCTGGGAGCTTACCCAACCGAGATAGAAACTCACTGGACAGGCCCCCAGCTCACTCTCCAGTTTTAGCAGAAAGAAGGATTTGGATGCACAGGAAGCATCAGGGCTCCCAGCCCTGAGTCACACCTGCAATAGGATGGTATTTCTCCTACCACCTGCCAAGGAGCATGAGGCACCACAACCCATCTCCCCTATGGATGCTGTGGGTGCTTGATGCAAAGGCACAAGCCAGCCCTTCAGCAAGGATTTTGCAGAACTGACAGTGTCTGAGACCAGGAGGTGCCAGTAGAGGAGGAGAGCTGATGGCTCTGAGCCTGGCAGACCTGCTTGGCACTTTCAGGTGGGCAGTGGTTGTGGAGTGGGTTTCTGTTTGCAGCTTGGGGCCCAGGAGAGGATACTGTTGCTGCCATGTGGGGTCTGTGCAGTCCTCTGCACTCAAGCCCAGCTGCACCCACTGGGTAGTGCTGGGTGGCACCATTTGAATCCTTCCTAATACCAATACCAGAAAAAAGGGTATGAGAATACTGCAGAGAACCAGAATACCCTTCAGGCTTTTTGGCTGGGGCAGAGTTCCCTTGGAGGATGGGGGAATGCAGGACAATGCAGAATGCTAGGGGCCAGTGGCAGTATTAGCAATTAATAATGATAGCATCCCAATGCATTCAGAGCTGGGACACTCCAGCAGTGCCCAGAATTCCCATCAGCACTGCTGGCAGGCCACTGATAGAGCACTGTCATTTCAGAGGTGCACACAGCTGCTCCCCCAGACAGGGTGCCCAGCCTGGTCTGGAGGAGTTTACAGCCCAGCTTCCCCCTTTCTCCCTTTTAGTTTTTGTACAGGTAGTTGAGAGACACACTGTCCCCCTCCCCGCCTGGCCCCTCCGTGCACGCGTGCGCTGGGTTGCTGTGCAATTCTGAGCCGGCTTGTATTTTGGCGAAGACGGAGGGGGTGTTGGTTGCCCTGCCTGCTGAGGGCAGGGGTTCTGTGCAATACCTGGGTCTGTGTTTCCTAGATGCTGTTGTAGGATTGTATTTTTGTAACTGTGAGGGTGCTGGCTCCAGCAGGCCCAGGGCCTGGTGCGAGCCTGCGTTCCCATCGCTTTTCAACTTTGGCTGTTTGGATGTTGTTATTTCTTGACATTGAAATAAAGAGATTGATGTTTTAGTTCCTGTCTTCTGCTGCATCCACAAGAATACAGCAGGCACTGCACCAGTGACACCCTGCATGGCGCAAACAATGTACCCCAAGGCCTCTGCCCCCATCCTAACTTGAGGGTACTCTTGGGATTTCCCTGCTGGGCCAGGTCCTTGTCCACTTCCCTGCACCGCATCCCTCTGGGACTGTTGCTGAAGATGCAGTCTTTGTCCTGAAGGACCTTCTCCCCCATTCTGTGGCATACATCAACACTCAGTGTAATGTGGAACAGGGAAAACGTGCACTGCCATCCCAAGTGATCTAGAAGGGCTTGGAAGTGTGAGTCAGGAGCTGGCAGCCTGCTATTCCTCCCTGGGGCAAAGGTGGCAGCTGGCCTGCCCTGCCCTGTGCAGCCCACAGCTATTGGTGGATACTACAGTGGCATCCAGCCTCTGATTTCAAAACATTTGTCGGCCTTTTTTTGTGGAGAGCTGTCCCCAGCCATGCTGCTCTGCGGGAGATGAGCCTGCTGTGGGCTCTTCTTATTCCTTCCCAGCTTCACCAAGGAGCCTTGGGGGTCTTGCCTCCAGTGCTGAGCACTGAGGGCAGGGATAATCTCTGCTGCTTCTGTGGGGGGACCACTCTCCAAATACAAAAGCAGAGGACTAGAGACACACTTGCTTCCATCTCCAGACTCATAAGGATGACTGTGGCCAATACCATCTCTCCTGCAGAGTTTCCTTTGCAAAAGGGAGGTAATCACTTTGGCTGACATGCGTTCTGGTGGCAGAGCTGGAGGTGGACATGGTGGGTGATGAGGAGCTGTACTCATACCTTAAACTCTGATTCCTGAGGGCAGTTTGGCAGCCTGCCTGGTGCTCCTGCTGCCTGCTGTCTGTCCAGAGAAGCAGCCTCCTTCACCTTCTGCCTTGTCCCTTCCACCCACCATACCTCTTTCAGAGTCTTCAGCCTTTCAGCCCCTGCCCAGAGCTAATTGGCAATCTGTAGTGTGTGTAAGGCACACCAAATTGTCCCAGCCTCCCTGGGCCACAGCCCAGGAACCAAGTGTAAGTGCAATGGGGAGGAGGGGGCCTGCTCTGCTTCAGGGCTGAGACCCATATTGGCACCTGGCCCATGTCTCAGCAGCAAGGACTGTCAGTAACCCTGGCAGTTAGAGTTTTCCAGCTGACCCAGTGTCAAAAATATGGTGGGGAAGAGAAGCAGTCCCAATATGTGATTGCTGTGATGACAGGTGTTGAGAAAGGACTCTCCCTTTAGGGCAGAGTCCTGCCCTTTTCTCTGGAGTGCCTTGGCATCATCCCTTTCTCCCTTTTAGTCAGGTGTTGAAGGGTCAGAGCTCTGTCTGCTCTCCTGTGGGATGGAAATACACCTAGGGGTGTATGCACAGGGTGCATGTGGGCAGGCTGGGGAGGGCTGTGCAGGCTGGGGAAGGCCATGCAAGCCCAGCCCTAGTTTAGCAGAGCTGTGGTGTCAGTCCTGTTAGTGATTCCCTGCCACACACCTGCCTCTGCAGGTCTCAACAAGGAAAACTTCATCCCTCTCCCATGCACAGCTGTGTCCCTGCACTGATACTGCTGCACAGTGCACTATCAGTTCCTCAGGGACCAGGCTTTGACCAGACATGGATGATGCTGAGCTAACATGCCGTGAATTAGCTTGTGACATTTTTAAAGGGAAAAACCTTGAGTTAACCAATTGCAGGGAAATGCACCTGGGTTGGTCACACTCCCTCTTTTTTATCCTTCCTTCAGCATGAGGCTCCTTTCTGCAAACAGCCTTCTGCTGCCAGTTTGAGCTGGGGAAGGAGCCATTTCTCCTGTATCCTTCAGAAAGAGCCCAAAGGGACCAAGCACAGCCACTGCTGAGGGTGATGTGCACCAATGCATCTCTGCTCTCTCATGTGGCCAGCACTTGTCTCCTGGTCCCCAGCCCGATGAGGCAACAGAAGGAGATTTGGAACAGCTGGAAATGGAAGGAGTGAAAATTTGCACAGGGCTTCAGCATACCTTGGGCTGCTCTGACCTGGGAACCCCAGTGAGATCTCCAGCTCCTGGCCAGAGACAGCTGAAGAAAAGCAGCAGTGCATGCTGCACACCTAGTTCTACTATCACAGTCCTATAACTCAGACTTGCAAACCTGATGCACCCCTTCTTTTTTACAGGGAAGTTTGTCTTGGCAGCTTTGTTCAGCTTTAGTTTAAAGGCCCAGTGATATGGGAGTTGGGGGGGGGCTATTGGCTCTGCTACCTGCCCAGCTGTTGGGACCCATCCTGTGCTCAAACGTACAGTCCAGCATGTCCAAACCCCTCACCACTGAGAGAAGTACCTGTTGCTGTGTGTGCAGCAGGCAAGGGAGATAGCACATTCCCACATTTGCCAGTCTTCCTCAAAACTCTGCAGATGTTCAGGAAACTGCTGGCAGGATGCAAGTTAAATGCGGCAATCTCAGAACATGATTCCTGGTTGAGAAGCAGCTCATAAAAAACAGCCCCCTCTGCCCTGCAACCCCACCTGTGGTGGCCCTGCTCCCGACAGCCTTCTTCCAGGATAAGGGGTGGGGAAATGGCTCCATTTGCCAACCACAACCCCATTCTTCTGGCATGACATGCCTTTCTGGCTGCTAACTCCAGAGGACAATTGGCTTGACTCAGCTCACCTCCTAAGAACTGATCTCAGCTCACCTCCTAAGAAAAGGGGGTGGGTAGGGGGAAGGCAGCAGTCATGTCTGCAAGGTCCTTTTCACCCCCCACC